TTATGTTTCTATTGTAAGGCACGCTTTCAAGACAGCAAGCTTACAGCCAAATTTATGCTTGATTGTTTTAAGAAGCAGGTTACTACAAATCATCTTATCACCGAAGATACTGATAACTGAGTGAACAGTGAAATATTATGCTTTATTCTAAACTTCAAAATGTCATTATTATTATATCAAAAGTGAACATGTGCGTATACATTTCTAAATTATTTAAATTGATTCTATACATCAACCAGTATCTTTCAGTGTAGAACTTATTTTCAGTATTTGCTATCGGTGTTTCTAATTGTCAGGGGTGGTCGAATTTTGAACGTTACTGGCACTTTTCTAAACACAAGTGGAAACCGTCAAATCGTTGTCACTAATGGAAACGGTGATCGTAAAGTGGAGGTGAGAAATGTGTTTTGATCTCTGAATAAATGATTTTATATCTGCCCTATCCTTGCTCAACCTCCCCTTAACCACCGATCTCTATCTACTTGCTCCACTATTGCAACATATATAATTAGGAAGCTTTTTAAATCCTTTATTTTTTTACATTTTGTTCGGTTACCGCGAACGACCACTTTTACAAAATGGCAATAAGTGAACTATGTAAAGTGTGACAGCCATTACATCATGAAACAAATTTCTGTTTTGAAGTAGAAACAAAGAGAGGTGCCATATGGTCAACCAGAGCTAATGCTGACCAGAATTGTCAACTGATGGCGTCTTTATTTTGCAGGAATGTGAAGTTAAATCTGCAACAGAAATGTTGTGCTTGTCTCCCAACATAACAGACCTTGTCAGAGATCAATGAAACATTTGGCTTCATCATGGATGGGGTCACTCAACTGTTGGCATGGTCTGAGGATATCGATGTCCACCTGGAGTTCTTTGAGGATCCAGTGATCCTAAAAAGGAAACTTTTTAAAACTTCTATATTGCTGAGTTACCGCGAACGACCACTTTAAATGTGAAAATGGCAAAAAGGGTACTATGTTAAGTGTGGCAGCCATTACATCATCAAAAACCATTTCTGTTTTAAAGTAGAAACAAAGAGAGGTGCCATTGTCAACCGGAGCTAATGCTGACCAGAATTGTCAACTGACTGATGTGGGTCTTTATTTCGCAGGAATGTCAAGGTAAATCTGCAACAGAGATGCGTTGCCCGTCTCCTAACATAACAGACCTCAACATAAGCAATGATAACTTGACCTTTGGCTTCATCATGGATGGGGTCACTCAACTGTTGACATGGTCTCAGGATAACGGTGTCGACTTGGAGTACGTTGAGGATCCAGAGTATGATGAATTTGAACGTGGTACGAAGAACAAAGAAGGAGAAACCCTGACAATCATGGTTGGTATACGTGTTTTATTCTATGTGTTTATCCTTTTCATTGTTGTGTTTTTTTCTATGAGTAGATATGGGGTCTGTCGGTCAAAGTGCAAGAAGCACACTTACACAGTGCTTTGTGAAGTGACATCACCTCTCATATGTGACTAGGGATAAATTCAAGTTTGATATCTCTTCCTCCTGAATTAAGTGGATCTTCCCAAAAAACAGTAGGCCTAACTTGGTAACTCTTGCTGAGTTACAAAACTTCATTAGCTCAGATCAGTTATTGCAAAGCAAATCTAGATGTGATGTGAAATAACAATTAAGGTTCTTTCTTTTTTACCTCAGTCCTCACACGGTGTGTATAGGAATAAATACATGAAAAACGACAGAAAGTCTTACGTGTGATACGGCTATATGACCTTTTTATTTAGAAATAAAACAAGTGTTGCACATTTTGTCACAACCGAAAAGACTAAATTCTTCCGAAATATACCAATGCAGATACCAATAAATTTCCTTTAAAACTATTTAACTTAAATTACTTGTGGATGCTTTAACAGGGCAAGCGGATTAAAAGCGCCATCACAGCTGTAGAAATCAAGGTGACGATCGGCGAAGAGAGCTGTGACGTCAACTTGATCAGTGAGAAATCACTGGTATGTGAATTGCCCGATGAGGCACCAGCAGCCGGGGACTTCATGGGAAAAGATACCGGGAAAGGTCTGCCTGTGGTATGGGTAAGTTAGAGGCGGATCGATGTTTGAATCAGAGGGTGGGGGTTGGGGAGGTTAGGTGTCAAGTGTTCTTTTTGTTGTTAGATTTTTTCCTTCTTTTGCGGCCCCAAGGGGGAAGTTTATCCTTTTCTTTTTCGGTTGAACATCTGTTATACTCAATCCGAAAGGTTCAAAAACGCCCAAAATTCGGCCAGTTCTCCCCAAAACGTAATTATACTACTTTTTCATTGTTGATTGTTTCTTCAAAAGTAATTATTATAACGTCGACATTAACGAATTGGTTAAGTCTAATCAGTTGTTGAATTGTTTATCATTTCATTTGTATTATTACATAGGTGCGCCACAATAACTTACAATTTAGGTTGGGCTACTTGGTCTATCCAAGTACGGTGCCACTTGTCGCTATACTTGTACCGAGTTTGGTCATTCCACTCTCCATGGCGATACTGCTCGCTGCTACCTTCGTGTATTGCAAACAATTGCAAAGGAAGCGCACCCACGACCGAAGACTATTGGGCAGGATAGTGGCGATTCATCTCGGTAAGTGCTGGTGGCAAGAGATGACTTCAGTTTACTCGAATATTTAATTCCTGAGTGCTAGAAACAGGTGCACAAAACTGCGGTGAAGAGAGAGTATCATCTCAGTCTATATGAGTATGCTCTTGTAAGTTAAAATCACTTGATCGGAAGACGGCGAAATGGTAAACAACACGAAACCCTTTCAAATTTCAAAGCCAATTATCCTTCATCACTTGTGTTTACCGGCTACTTATCAATTCCTAATTTTCAAGCATAATTATGATAGTTTAGAAAAAAATTAAACAGTACGTAGCTGCACGTCTCCGTATTAAATTATGTTCTACTTCTAAAAAAACTCTCAAGATGGCTGCTAACGGGCAGCCGGTTTTGATGGTAAAATACATGGCAAAAGAATTCAAATGGCATGCTCCTCATTTGACTGTAAATTGTCAAGTTGTAGACAGGATGAAACAAATTTTTCTACAAAAAAAAAAATAAATATCAAACTCTTTTGTCAAGATTGTGTTTACCATTTTAGACAACTTGTGAATCTTGTGTAGCATGCAAAGGTTGTTTTGTCTGTTGATTTGTAAGCCTGAACGTGCTCGTAAACCTACCAATATATTACGTTATTTACTGTTAATGCGACACTGTATCACTTTTCTTCAGAAATTGACTCCCACGTCAAAAGACGCAGGTGGTATAGATCCCAGAAACAGTCGGAATCTGCTCAGCCAAAACAAAAGCGCATTGTCCTGAACAACAAGGTCAGCTTCGTTCCCGACGACATTCATATCGACTTCAGCCAACTGGAATTGGGAGAGACTCTCGGACAAGGTAGAGACTTTGTACGAGGAAACAATGAACATTTCATGAGTTCAAAGTGTAAGCTGTTATTTTACGTGAGAAGGAGAGGCCTACATAAAGGGGCTGTGTGTGCAAACCGTTATTGGCGTGATTGAAACACATTTTCACGTTTCGACCTTTAGGAAATTATTTAGACTCGGCCAGTCGCTGGGTCCGTTAGTAAGTCGGTAGGTTGGTTGGTCTGCCAGCTGGCTAGTCTTCGGTACCAGCAAAAGATAATCAGTACAGATGAGTATAATACATTTGACCAAATTTTACAGGTGCATTTGGGCGTGTACTGAAAGCTGTTCTACACGATACGTCCGGAGAAGATCAAATTGTGGCTGTGAAGACAGTGCAAGGTTGGTGACGAGTATGTCAGCCATTTGAGAGAGATGTTTGCTATGACAGTATGGATTCGAAACAAAGCATTGAAATGTTGTTCCTCGGTTGAAAAGGGCCCATTTCAAAATGCTATGAATTTTGGTCTCGAGTATATGGATGACCTTATACCGAGAAAGAGGAACTAAACAACATTAATCGTTGTGCGTCTTGAATGAAAGAGCTGAAAGAGTCTTTTCATTCAGAATTGCGAATTGTTGGTTGTAAAATGTTCTTGAACTGAATTGAATGTTCTCCGGTGTCACTGGGTTATTGCATTTCTGTGGTGATGAAAATAAGTTGAAATACAAGTTCCTGTTTTTGTGTTGTATCTTGGCCAAATGTGAGCAGGGCGTGCCAGTTATCACATATAAATGCCTTACTTTTGCATGTATAGACACCTCGGACCCGAAAAATGTGGTGAAGTTCCTGGAGGAAGGCCTGATCATGAAAACCTTCGACCATGTCAACGTGCTGGGGCTTCTGGGGTTGACCTTTGACGCGGACAAAAACCCCTTGGTGGTGATACCCTTCATGGCAAACGGTGACCTCAAGACATATCTGGTCAAGAAGAAACAGGTATTATTCAGGAGCGATCAATGTCGATAATAAGTAGATGAAGGTTCGATAAAAGAATTGTTGATGAGTGGCATGAGTTTGGAACTGACTTAATGGTAATTTTGGTAGATGTTGTTACGTTTGATAATTAATATTCAGATTTATTAAACAAAATGCAGTCCCATTTCGTAAACAGTATGTCATGTGTTTTGTTCTGAGTGTGGTATTTATTTATTCATTGGAGGTTTTTACTTTTAATTTAGACCTTGGCGACATCTCTGCTGATGAGGTTTGCCTCACATGCTGCACTCGGTATGAGTTACTTGGCTCAGCACAAGTTTGTACACAGAGATCTTGCGGCCAGAAATTGCATGTAAGTGTATCCTCTCTTCTATATCATCTGGGGCTTTTACAAATTTCTTTATATGTGTGTTTGAGTAAAAGCAAAATTAGACCTCGGATGTTTCCGAGAGAAATCGGTCAGCTGTTTCATCGAAAATAATTTTAATGCACCAGAGATACCAGGGGACATGCATTCATTGAATTAACTCAAGACTTCGAACTAATGGCATTGCAATTCTTAAATGATTTGATCCCAAAGTAAAATCAACGTTTAACAACCTCTGTAGGGTGAACAGTGATCTTCTGGTGAAGATAGCGGATTTTGGACTATCCCGTGACATGCACGAATCGGATTACTACACAAGCGGCGATGTTCAGGCTAAGCTGCCTATCAGATGGCTGGCTCCCGAGTCCATGGAACGTCGAGTGTACAACGCCAGGACTGACGTGGTACGCACTTAAATCCATCGTTGATTGGAATGTTAGATGATGTTTAGATAAAGATCTTAACGGAAAAGAAAGCAAGACACATCTCTTTGCGTTCTGTGGAACTATCCTTCGAAGAGAAACTACATGAACTTCGATGCCCGGTCATGAAACGTCAGTTTATTGATAATTTACATCGGGTATGTTTTCAAGGCGCCTGACCCTCATTAGCTGGAGTATTTCGTCTTAAGACGCCCACCTCGAACTGATTTCTAAGTTAACTTAGTAATAAACGTTTAATTTCAATTTGACACAAGATCTCATTAAACAGTTCAATAAAAACTCAAATACAATGTAGCTTGGTCAATCTTCGTTAATCTTGGCTACTCTTTCTAGCTTGCTCATGTCAACTGTTCGGTAGCTCAATTGAACAGGCATCATTAGAATGGTCTCTTACATTGAAAAAAATATTTGTCTTCTTTGGTTTTCTACAGTGGTCATACGGTGTGCTCCTGTGGGAGATTTTCAGTAAGGGTGCAAAACCGTATCCAGGAATTCCCAACCAAGATGTGTATGATTTCTTGAAGAGAGGTCAACGCATGGATGCTCCCAAGAACTGCCCGCCAGAAATGTATGTTCAAACAGCGGTCACCATTACCTTTAAATAATAACACATCTAATGCCGTTTTAACTTCTGTAAAAGTATGCATGATTCTTTTTATATATTTTACTCAAATTTTTCTGAAGGTGAAGGGATCTTAATGCATCTTCTTTACTCTCAAAGGTTTTACATAATTGAAAGTAGGCATAACACTCTCTAGTTGTGAGAAACAGTGAAGAGTGTTTTGTTTGGGGTTTCAAATGAAAAAAGGGAAACTCAATTCTCAAACATTTTTCTCAAAAATGTAGGGTTAATGTGCTCGAGTAATCAGTAATAATGGAAAGTGTATTGTCGGGGGTTTCAAGTAAAAGCGCAGACACAATTTGATATACGATCAAGCATGCAACATCTAATGATTCTTGTTACATTTGCTGACTGATACAGCTACGGCATTATGGTACGTTGCTGGCAGGACAACCCCAAATCACGTTGCACCTTCGTCCAAGTTGCTAACGAGCTGGAAGAACTGTTGGAAGGAGACCGCAACTACGTAGCAGCTCCTAGTTCGAGTGTGGTTGGTATGCGACCCATCGAACATCGCGAAGAACTTGTTGTCTCAGACGACAGCTATCTGGTCCCGATGCTGCAGGAGACCGCCTTTGGTGCTGACGGCCCGTGTAGTGACGGAGAAACCAGCCGGAGCCATGCGACCGCCGCCCATGATCCCTTGGATTATGTCAATGAAATTGTCATTAGATAAAGTGTCCTGCAAATTCCCAGATAAGAAATATCCGAAAAGAAAATGGTTTGAAGAAAAAGTCTGTTTCAAGTGGCCAATATATTAAAATCTTAGCTTATCAAGATGGATCTATAGGACACACTCCTTGCTCACTTTCATTCATAAGAAAAAAGATTTAACCTTTCTAGCGTTTTGTCTCTGTGTGTTGGAATAAAATCATTTACAATATATAGAAGGTGGCAAGCTAGACTAATAGCTAAATCATTTGTCATTTTAAGCGTCAAAACCAATGCCAGAAGCCGTTTTTGTTTTTCGATTGAAGTTTTTGTGGTATTTAGTAATCTGAGGTATTACTGTCGTTCACCATCATTGAATCAAACGTTCATGGATACATTTTTTTATTGCTTGAGTAATATTCGGATTTCCCGCAAATGAGTGTAAGATCGGGTTTTTTTTTTAAATTGCATACATGTTATATTATACAACACCTGAATAAATCCCCGTCATCTGATTGGTGAATTGTAGATCACGTGACATATTATTATTCGGTATAATGCACGGTGCGACCATGCGTTATACCCATGCGTTATACCGTTTCACTTTGCGCTTGTTCCATGACGCGGTATTTGCGTGCAAAATGCATGCTGGTGTGCGTGTTCAGCGTAGCGCGTATTGTTCCAACGAGCCAGCGCTACAACGTTTGGTTCAAACATTTTCGTGAAGGGGTAGTTAAACATCTTTAAAATCAAAATAAATTGTAGTTTATAATTTACCAATCAAATGACGAGAATTTATTCAGGTGTTGTATAAAACAAATAACGAATGTTTTACGTTCGTGCGATGGAAAGAATAATTTCATTCGGGGACAGATTGAATGTTCTATTCCACTCGGCTTCGCCTCGTGGAATAGAACATTCAATCTGTCACCTCATGAAATTATTCTTACCATCACACTCACAAACATTCGTTATTTGTATAATAACACCTGCGTCATTTAATCTAATACATGTACATATAATCTTCCAGTATTGTTTTCATTGACAATGCCTAGCTAGGCAAATTGCAACATTTTAAAACATGATCCTACGTTATCTGCAAGTGATAAGTTGCCGATTGGGAACTTTTGCACAGATTCCTACACGCTGGACAAAACATTTATATAAAAATGGTTGAAGTTATCAGGAAATTAACGACTAGGCCTATATAGGCACCGTAAAGGAAACAAAAAAAATAGCAGCACTATAATTTTATTTAACGTATTGTTAATTTGTCCAGCATTTAATTATTAAGTAAATAGTGTATTACATAATTGACATTTTATATTTTGAATACATGTAAAGGCCTCTATTCTTAGTTTACTAAGTATATCTGTTCTAACGCCATCGCGTGTGCGCAGGTTTTCTTCTTATAGTAACGACATTGATCACATGTGTTAAACCGAGGCGTGTACAGTTGAGTCGCATGAAAATGCAATCCCTTTGGATTGGTATTCAATGGTGATTCGTACATTCTTACCAACTAGTCTGTGGAGACAGATGCCACGTGCACATGTATTGCTCTCAAAAATAAATACGAAATGTAGCTCAGTTTATTAAAAAATTATATCTTGTTTACCTAAAATATATACATGTTTGTGTGTTATAGGAGAGTCTTCTGTCGAAGGTGTTGCTAGAAATTAGCGTTTTGTAAAGAAGTTGTTTTTATGCAAGGTATAAAAAGCTGCTCAATGGTTGCCTAGTAAATTAATGTAGACAAATACCCTGACTTAACAGGTTTAAAAAAAAACCACTAGAAACAGTTAGGTAAATGCGTGCGAAAATGTATTTTAAAAGTCGTACAGTGAGGAGATCGAACAACGATTGTAGTTAGCACTGAGTGCTGTATAAATGCTCATATTCGATATTCAATTTACTTTATATAATCTTGTTGTTAGATCATTTATTTATTTGATACACAGACACATATTAATCACTTTTTTTTTTAAAGATAATCAGAATTGCATAAAATAACTGGTATATTGATGACATAGCCAATATTGAATTTCTGTTTAAAAAGTCAAGAAATATTTTACTCAGATTTGTTGGATCACATACTCACATTTCACAGACAGGTCGTTCTATCCGATGACTTTCTTCTTATACTTGATACTGAGGGTTCCATTTTGTAGAGTATTTTTAGGGAGCAGGGTTGTTTGAATTGATTGTTTTATTCTAATCATTGATTTCAATCCTGATTGAAATCAATACAAAATGACTAATATCGGCTTTTTAATTTGAATGCTCCACCTGCATATATATTCTATTACATAATTGACATTTTATATTTGCACGCATTAATCTATACACAGTGATTTTCCAGTATTGTAATATATAACCATACTTACCTAGGAAAATTGCAACATTTTAAAACGTGATGCTACGTTATCTAAACTTTGTAAAATACATTCCTGTGAAAACGGTAAAACAATACTAAGCCAAACGTGTTTGATTGCAAATTATTACTTGCCGATTGGGAAATATTTTCACAGATTCCTGCAAGCTGCACAAAGCATTTATATAAAATGGGTGAAGTTATCAGGAAATCGGTATCGCTATTAAACTAAAAGGAGTAAACAATAATAACAATGTTATTTCATTTAACGTATTGTACACAGGTTTTCCAGCATTTAATTATTAAGATAAATAGTGTATTACACAATTGACATTTTATATTTTGAATACATGTAAAGGCCTCTATTCTTAGCTGACTCAGTATCTGTTCTAACGCAGTCGCGTGTGCACAGGTTTTCTCCTTTAATATGGTAACGACATTGATCGCATGTGTTAAACCGAGGGGTGTACAGTTGAGTCGCATGGAAATGCAATCCCTTTGGATTGGTATTCAATGGGGATTCGTACATTCTTACCAACTAGTCTGTGGAGACAGATGCCACGTGCACATGTATTGTTCTCAAAAATACATACGAAATATAGCTCCTTTTATTAAAAAAATATATCTTGTTTACCTAAAATACATACATTTGTGTGTGTTATAGGAGAGTCTTCTGTCGAAGGTGTTGCTAGAAATTAGCGTTTTTGTAAAGAAGTTTTTTATGCAAGGTATAAAACGCTGCTCAATGGTTGCCTAGTAAATGAAGAAAAATGCCCTGACTTAACAGGTAAAAAAAACAAAACAAGAAACAGTTGGTAAATGCGTGCGAAAATGTATTTTAAAAGTCGTACAATGAGGAGATCGAACAATGATTGTAGTTAGCACCGAGTGCTGTACAAATGCTCATATTCGATATTTAATTGACTTTATATAATCTTGCTGTTATAGGTCATTTATTCATTTGATACACAGATACATATTTAATCACTTTTTTTTATTCAGATTATCAGAATAGCATAGTAACTGGTAAATTATTAACATATCCAAACTGAATTTCTGTTAGAGTCAAGATTTTTTTATTATTAATGCTCCCCCTGCATATATTTTATTACATAATTGACATTTGCAATACAGGCCTATATTCTTAACTGACTAAGTACATGTATCTGTTCTAAGGCAATCGCATGTGCACAGATTTTCTCCTTAAAAAAAGTAAAGACATTGATCGAGGGATATTCCATTATCAACACAAATGTACCGTTTCACTCGTATGAAAAAAATGGAATGCCTTTGGATCGGTATTTAATGGAGATTCGTACATTCTTACAAGCTGGTTTGTGCAGATGCCACGTGCACAATGCATTTTCCTGCCAAATTAATATGCATTCTACGCAACTTGATATGCAAATAGCTGCATTTACACAAGAAATTGACATCGTGGTCTTATGTGTGAACGATTAGTCAAATTAACACAGATTTGTAAAAGTGGTTCTTAATAATAAGGTATGAAAAGCCGCTCACCTGGTGCCTCGATAATGCACGCAAACAACATGACCTAATTTTTTTTTTCAAAAACGAAACATTGGTATATGTCCGCGAAAAATGAATTTTATAAAGTAAAATTTTGCCATCATGATTGTCATGAGGATCAAGCACTGTTATTTTCATATTCGAAATCATTTGGCTTTGTATAATCTTGCTTTTTGGATCATGTATATTCATTTGATACACGGATACATTTTTACATGTTAATCAGATTTCGCTTTAGCAAAATTGCGTAATTAACATTACAATTTCGAATATTGAATTTCCGTTTAAACAGTCAAGACATTGACGCTCTGTGTTTGAAATGCGTAGCAGTCTTTGTTTATTGTCAGTATAGGATTTCAACCTTATTCCAACGGGTAACAACATATTAAAATAGATTTTCAGTTGAATAAAAAGGAACATTTAACACC